ATGAAAGAGTATAAGTGGATTTTGGCAGGGTTTATATTTTTAAATCAGGGTTCCTGATTTCCAGCTTCAGCCGTTTCTAGCATCAGCCGCGACAAGAAATATTTTTAATATGTTATATTAAATTTTGTTAGTACAACTATTTGTTATTTGAATAAAAAAATAGTTGTTGCAGTGTCTATGCCGTCACTATAACCTGTTGATAGATTGAGCAGTTCACAGACAGAATTTGAACATATAATCCTATAATGGCTACACAACATCACCACTTTACTACAACAGGTAATTGTCTAATTTTTAAAATTTTCTTGTTTAAGATAGTTCCAGCTTTTTGTAAAGTGTCTAATTAGAGCATAAGATTTCATATGATTAGATTGATACAATGCAGGGGTTAAATATAATATTGATCGTTAGATTTTGCTAAAGTTTATAAAATATTGAGATAATTCAATATCTACATCAACTATAACATCTATATCAACATTTAACTATGGTCCACACTTATTGAAACAACATAAGAGAGAAAGATCACTATATCGATGTCCAGAAGGGTAAATTAAATTAATAATAAGAATAAGAATAATAGTAATAATAATATTAATAATAAAATATTTATGATTATAGAAAAGAAACAGGTAAAAATTAGTAAGAATAATATAATATATGAGATAATAGTAATAATAATAATAATTATTATTATAACTAATTATTAGGAAGAATGTATAGATTAAATATTTAGAAGAAGAAAAAGAGAGATTGGAAAAGAAAGTTAAGGTGATGAAGAATCATAAAGATCGATGGAGACAGAAGTGTCAGAAAAGTGAAAATATGTCATCAGATATGTTTAAGAGGTTGATGAGAGAAAGAAGAGAAGAAGAAGGGTCATTTGTAAGTAAAAAAGATGATAAATAGAAGAAGAAGTATGAAGAGCTGTATGAACGAGTAAAAGATGAAGAGTGGTTAAAGAAGAAAGAAAAAGAACCAGTTGATCAAAAGTGGTATTGTGATATTTACTTGAAGAAGCAAATTACAAAGTTGAAAAAAGAAAAGAAGGTTTTAGGAGAAGATTTAAAGAAGAAAATAGAAGAAGATAATTTGTTTTGGCAAAGAAGAAAAGATGATTAGACAAAGAAGAAGAATATTTTGAAAAAGAAGAAATTAATTTTGAAAAAAAAGAAGGAGATTTTAAATAATGAGAAGAATTTTTGGAAACAGAAAATACAAGAGATATTATGGTAATTAAATAATTATATTATTAGTAAATTTTATATACTAAATAATATATGATTTAATTATAAGGAGAATATGAAGAAAAGGTGTGAAAAAGAAGAAATTGAAGAGGAAAATAATATAAAAGGGATAGTAGAAATTGAAGTTAATAGTTCTATAACTATTCGAGATTTAAGTGAAGATGATGAAGAAGAGAGATATTATTATAATATAACAATATTATTAAAAATACCAATAATAATAATATTATAATCTATAAAATATTAAGAAGCTATGGTGTGATAAAACATAGGAGATAAATAAATAGTTTGATTGGCTCGCGTATCATATATAAGATGTGATCAACAATATATGTGCATTTTATGTCAATCTTTGCTTATTGTAGAAATTCAAGTGTAACATAAAACCTTACTATTACAAAAATTTATTAAACTTAGTCGCTATTAGGGTAGTAATTATACTCAGGCAAAACGACATCTAATGCAAGCATTAATCTAAGGCACAATATACTGTATATACCATTCCGAATAATTAAATTATAGTGTATATCGTTGCTATATCAAATACTAATAAGCGAGTCAAATATTTAAATTATTATACAGTGGGATTCACCTAAAGCCATCATATAAAATACACTTAATTTAACTTAAAATAAATTGATCAAATTTGTATATTTATCAAATTTTTTTTTGATCAAATTATTCTTTACTAATTTATCTACAAATCTATCAAAAAATATTTAATATTTAATAAGTCAAACCTTTTGTAATATCAATTTAAAATTTGGCAATTTATATATATTTTAAAAAATTGGCGCCTATAGTTTAATGATTTCACACAAGAATAACTACTACCCTTCGGAACATATCGGCATTCCTTGCTCGTAATTTAAGTTCATTTACTATCTACACCGGAAATTTTCGGAATATAGGTACTGTATCTTGACAAAATTAATAGCTGCTCGATACGTAAGTATCGAGGCACCTTTTGTCTCGAATCATCGAACATGTGATAGGCCCGGTTACGATCACATGTTCGATCAATCAATCGATCGAACGTAAGTATGAGGTAATCGGGTGATTAGTAATTCAATCAGTGATGTAAGTATAGCATTGTAATTAATATCGTTATTACGATCAATTCATTAAATACGAGGTAATCGGGTGATTAGTAATTCAATCAGTGATGTAAGTATAGCATTGTAATTAATATCGTTATTACGATCAATTCATTAAGTACGTCGTAATTGAGTAACCCAGGATTGCGCCAAGCAAAATTTATAATATCAATTGAACACCTTACATTTTAACCTTAAAACATATAAAATACACGTAATAAATAAAACGATTAAATTCGAGTTACATATCTAATCAATGTTATGTTAGCGCATACCCAGGATTACGCCAAGCGAAATTTATAATATCAATCGAATGCCTTACATTTTGACCTTAAAATACACGTAATAACCTGAAATAACTCATGAATCTATCCCATGATAATTTGTCCTATGGCCACTAACCTAAAAGGTAATGCTAATTGAGTTCATAGTAGCGTATAAATTTTAAAATAATAACGCTAAAAAGGTGGAACGATGTCAGGGCTGCACAGATGAATTTTTACGGCCTTTGCTTTCATATGAAAAAGCGAATAGTTAATATAGATAAAATCAAGTTAAAAGAAAAAAAAGGAAATAGATGGATACTCCCTATTTCAAGTTCTAATAAGGTAAAATAAAGCAGAAATTACAAACAAATCCACAAGCCTACGAGTTATTTCCAGCTTATCATAAGTTTTTGAACGCCTCAAATGTCAAAATGATGCCAACGACTATGGAATAGATGGTTTGCAAATATTATATAAACTGACCATTGTTGTATTTGTCTTGATAAATTTCGTATCAATCGTATTCCTAAGTGCTTTCCAATACCTGGGTCTTGTAATATGGGTCGAATTAAAAAAATTTTATTTATGCGCCGTGCAAATGCCAAAAAAGCAAGAGAGAAAAAAGAACTTAAGGACAAAGATAAAGATGACTTACCAATCGTTGACGAAGCATATGACTTGGAGAATGATGAAGCAGCGGAAACAGTATTTAGAAAGCTTATTGAAAATGCTAAAGAAATGGATTATAATAAAAATTCACGTTGGAGGTATACTGGAAATTCTGATCCTACAAGACAACGAAGGACACGACAAAACCGTATAAACGCAGTAGGGAGCTATAAAATAACCCAGTTTTTCGCCCCAGTAAATAATATAAATGAAGCCACAGGAGACCAGCAGTCAGATTCAGAAAGTGATAGTGATCTTGAACTCGAAGAAAAACCATTAAAATGGAAACAACAACTTCAAGAAACTGAGAAAAGGATACAAAATCTGCTAGATACTACGGAAATGTCAAAGACAGATAAGGTGAAGTATGTTTCTGTGATCCATTATATTCGACTTCTTCAACATGACTCATCTAAAATGGAAGCAAGTCGAGTTGTGGCAACCATTCACAATGGTGGTGAGTATCGTGCCAGATGTATACGAGCGTGGGGAAAAAGATGTTTAGAAGGTAATCTCTTACCTCCATCTCAACGTGGAAAGCACCCATCGCAGTCACTTCTTCATGATGAAGAAGTCTCCTTAAAAGTAGCAAATTACTTAAGATCAACAAAATTCAAAGTAAATCCAAGGCTTGTCAAACAGTACTTTGAAAATAATATTCTGCCTGAGCTTCACATTGATCAAGTGCAAACGATTTTTTTGACTACGGCACGGCGTTGGATGAAAAAAATAGGGTTTTATTATAAGAGATATCAAAAAGGCGTATATGTGGATGGTCACGAAAGGGAGGATGTGGTTGCGTATCGTAAAGTATTTCTACAAAATATGGCAGAATACGAAAGGTTAATGCCTAAGTGGACTGATGTTGATTGTAAAGTATGTGAAGAGCCGTATTTATTGCCTGGTGAACAAAAACATATCCTGATTACCCATGATGAATGTACCTTCCATTCTTATGATGGCACCCGTGAGTTTTGGGCACCTGAAGGTGAACAACCGTTAAGGAAAAAAGGACTCGGAAAAGGGCTTCATGTTAGTGAATTCCTAGTAGAAACAATTGGAAGATTGAAAGATGAGAAGGAAGAAGCAAGGTTAATAATGCAATTGGGTGCGAATCATGACGGATATTGGGATGGACAAAAGTTACTTCCCCAAGTAAAAAACGCCATAGATATATTTGAAAGGACTCATCCAGGATATATTGGGGTTTGGGCATTTGATAATGCCACCAGTCACAAAGTTATGGCACCCGACGCATTAGTAGCTGCTAGAATGAATTTAAAACCTGGTGGACAGCAGCCAAAGATGAGAAACACTGTATGGAATGGAGAAACCCAAATGATGGTGTTCCCAGAGGATTATGAAGATGACCCTACTTTACAATCAGAACCGAAAGGAATGAAACAAATTCTTAAAGAGAGAGGCCTTTGGAAAGATGGAATGTTAGCAGACTGTAAAGTACGTAAAAAAGATAAATTGAATTCTGACATAGTAAATTGTTGTGCACGGCACCTTATTGCGAACCAGCCAGATTTTTTAAATGAACGTGGATTAATTCAACAAGAGATTGAAAAACATGGTCATAAGGTAAGTAAATTACCCAAATATAGAACTTTACAATTAAATAATTAATCTTTACCTCAGGTGATTTTCTATCCTAAATTCCACCCGGAACTTAACTATATTGAAACGTACTGGGGTGCAGCAAAGAGACACGCGCGAGAAAACTGTGACTACACATGGAAGGGACTACAAGAAAATGTACCAATTGCACTTGACTCCGTTCCAGTTGAAATGAACAGAAAATACGCAAGGCTTTCTTACCGATGGATGGACGCTTATCGAAAAGGGTTAACCGGCCGAGCAGCCGAGTACGCTGTCAAAAAGCAAAGGAGTCATCGCTCAATTAGTTTGGTAGATTTGGTTGAAAATGGCGATTAGTTAATTTTTTGATTTTTTAACATTGATAAAATATGAATAAATAAAATGCTTGTAAAAAAAAAAGCAACGAATATACTTTACTTACAGAGTTAAGAGTTAAGAAAGTGTAATTTATACAGTATCAAATGTGATTATCGCATCGATTATGCATGCGATAAAAAAAATTCGATCGTAATTTATACAGTATCAAATGCATGATTATCGATTATGCATTTGATAAAAAGTATAAAAGTAACGATAAAGTATGAACTATAAATCTAAATTAATACCTTTCGGAACGTTTCGGACTTGGATACAAATTTTTTTCGACCTTGCTCGTAATTTGTGTTAAGTGATTTTCTATTTCGGAGCTTTTCGGTTAAATATTAGTCATAGGAAAATTGGCGCCTATATATAAGAGGTGATGGCTTTAGGTGAATCCCACTGTACTATTTTTCTGAAGTAATTCTTATATGTCTTTAAACTTTGAGAGAAGTATGATCAATAATTTTCTAATTAGATTACATGAATTTTTTTTAATTTTGCTAGGTGGTTGTCAAGAAAACTTGTTTAAGTTTAGAAGAAATCTGTCCTGCCTATTAGAAGAAAGTTAATTTTGTGTTTTGCATTACTTCTGACCCAAAATTTTCAAAAATATAAAAATAATGATATTTATTTTAATCGTTTTAATGAATTTAATTCAAAAAAAAAATCAATAATTATTTAATCAAAA